CTCTGTTTGTGGGGTCATTGGTATGTGGGCATGCAAATGATAACTTCTCCCCTCGCAACTACAGCCCTTGGCCGCATGGAAAGTCCCAAGAACAAAAATTTTAACCCCTTCAGTGCTGGTGAAGGTTGGGACACACCATCCACTCAGGGCTCAGTCAAGGCTGCTGTCATGAGCTTCACACACCCATCTGTGGAATCAGGTGCCTCAATAGACCATGGCATGCTGCATAGTTCGAAGGTTTCAGGACATCGTGGAATCCACAAGCTTCTTATGGGCTAGGGGGAGCATGCTGCTGCCCCTCATGGAGCCTGTCCTACTAGGATCTCCTGAAATACCTTCCCTTGATCCTGTCCTTGTTCCTGCCAAGGAGGAAGACATTCATCTGGAAATACTTAATGTCAGTTGTAGAGCTCGTTTTCATTCAATCAGCTATCCCACTCCCTGCAGGAACTCTTCTTCCTCACCGCTGCAACCTTATTCCTTCAGTTTTATGTTACTGTGTCACTGGGCTGACTTCAACTGAAATATTAAAGAAAAGGTTTTGTTATTATTATTATCATTATTATTATTATATATTATGCTATTTGTGAGGATGATGTACATTCACATGCTGTGCAAGCGTTACCTCTATCGATGTGACAGTGTTCCATCTCAGAAAAGAAGACCCCACACCAAGTGTACTGCGCCCCACTCCTCCTGTCCATGGCAACTCCTGATCAGCTCTGTGTCTTCCTTTACCTCCTCTGGATGATTTCTATAGATGGAATGTTACAATAGGTGTCTTTTTTTCTTGCTCAGGCATATGTTTGTAAAGGAGTATCCCAGATGGATTAGAGATCAAATGTTAGAAAAGAAGCCCTTTGGGCAATGTGTGCATAATGCTGAGGTAGAGACCTTTTTGCTAATTGTGTCTGCAGGGCTGAAAGCCAGGCAGGCAATGGCTGGTTCTTGTTGTCACCCAAACAAAAAACTAGAAAAATGCAGAATTCTGGATACACAAACCACAAGCTGGAAAATATTCATCACACTCCAAGGCCAGAGAAATTTTCAACATCCCTAAGATGCAGTAAACTCTCGAAAGTCCGTGTTTTCCAAAGGGACAAGGGACAAGTGTGTGCACTTCCAACGAGTGGCAGTGCTCATGACACTACATGTCACAGGTTCCTGATCTCCCCAGTGGGGATCCACACACTGTCAACAGTCAGGAAAGAGCACTGTCACCATCTGAATGGCAGGCTCCTGGTCTGGTGGCAACAAGCCCTGGGCACAGAGTGAGGAAGCACAGGCCCCAGAAAATCCCCACAGAGAAAAAGGGAAAGGCGCCTCCTCTGGGAGGACAGTGTGCAGGACCTGTGCACGTTTCCAGGTGCTCACCTTCACCGGGAGGTGCTCACCCTAGGGGGCTACCCCACAGAAATTCTTGCACAATTTTCCACAGATGTATTTTCCAGACTACCCATCAGAGCACTGATGAAACAACTGGGAACTGGTAAAAACACTAATATCCATGGAGAGGGAATAGGACCCACCAATCTGGGTCCACATATTGAGGAAAGCTGAGCAGCTGCTAAAGTGGTGCCAACAGATAAGGACCTCAGGGGTCCTCTCACCTGAGACACATGGCGCAACTATCTGCATCCAAGATCCCACCTGTTAGACCACATACATGTGATTTCAACAAGCAGACAAGTGTATGTGAAAATCACAGGATACCATATATGGAGAACCCTAAAGATTCTACAAAAAACTGCTAGAACTGATCATTGAATTCAGTAAGCTAGCAGGATAAAGAATAGATATACCGAAATCAGTTGCATTTATATACACCAAAAATGAACAATCAGAAGGGGAACTTAAGAAAACAATACCATTTGCAGTTGCATCAAAATAAATAAAATACCTAGGAATAAATCTCACCAAAGATATAAAAGGCCTATACTAAGAAAATGATGAAGCTCTGAAGAAAGAAATTGAAGGACATACAAATACATGGAAGTACCTATCGTGTTCATGAATAAGAAGTATTAACACCATTGAAATACCCATAGTACCCAAAGCAATCTGTAGGTCCAATGCAATTCCTATTAAGACACCTATGATGTATTTCACAGAACTAGAACAAATATTTCAAACATTTATATGAAACTACAAAATGCCCTGAATAGCAACAGTGACCTTGAGGAAGAATGAAGTTGGAGGAATCATGGTATATAATATCAAACTACACTATGAGGCCATAGTAATGCAAACAGCATGGAACTGGCATCAAAACAGCTGCAGCTATCCATGGAACAAAATAGAGGGCCCTGAAGGAAAGCCACATGTTTATAAACCCACAATTAATATTTGACAGAGAAAGTAAGTGCATACAATGGGTTAATGAAAGTTTATTAATGAATGGTTTGGGGAAAATTGGACAGATATGTATATAAAAATGAAACTAGAACACCTTCTTACACCACACACAAGAATAAATTCAAACTAGATCAAAGACTTAAATGTTAGACCCAAAACCTTAAAAACTCTAGGAGACAACATAGACAGTTACATCTCGAACCTTGCTGGTAGCAATATTTTTTTCTGGTATGCTTCCCTAGGCAAGGGAAACAAAAGAAAGAATTCAAATTTTAAGAATCTATTGCAGATATTTATATATGTCTTAAATTACTCGATGAGATTTATTTATTTTCCTGTGTTTCTCTGAAAATAAATTGAAAGTGTTGCTTTTAATTTTATGCACACAATTCAAACAAAGTGTGAACATATGTTTAATTTGAAAGATGTATTTAAATTAAATGTGCTTTTATTACTTTACATATTGAATTCTATACAATAAGCATTCTATTTAAGGAGAATGAATTCTAAAGAATGAGTGATAAATAAGTGAGAATAACTAAATACAAAAGACTGATTCTGGTTTCTTTTCCCTGTGTCCTTAATACACTACACTATCTTTGACAACAAAAATGTCCTGCTTGTGATAGAAAGGGTCAGAAGTGGAAAAAAACATAAGCAGGGAATGAATAATGCACATTTTCACAGCAGTGGTCAAATTATACCGTTTCCTAGTAGGTACCATTTTTCCTCATTGAGTGGGACACTGTGAGTTGGATATTAATTGCTCCCACGAAAGTGGTTTTGCTCTTTACAATTAACATGAAGCAAGTGCTTAGAGCTCTGTGACTTCATCATGTACTACCTAAAAGGAAAGGAATCATGAAAATATGAATCAGACAGACAGAAACAGCAGCAACTAGGACCAAGTAGGGCTTGAGGCCTCCAAACTGGCTATAGGTCGCTGTCATTGCTGAGCTCAACCCAGGCCATGGAGGAGCAACAGGTGGTCAATGAAGACCCAGAGTCTGTCTCCACCAGGGAGGGAAGGGAGCTCCATACCACTGAGACCCAGAATAATCTTGAGATCACTGTTGCCACCCAGTAACCTGGGGAACCAGGGCACTTTCATGGACAGAAAAGAACATCTTGCCTGAGGCTGCCCAGGCTCCACAGGAAGCTGATTTCCAACCCCAACATGGATCACCTTGCTCACGTTAAACAAACAGGGCCAGATGACATGGCAGCAAAAGAGAAGGAGTCCAAGGGTGAGAAAGTGGGGGAGGTAGGCATGGGAATGGAAGTGAAGGTACAAGAAGGCTTGTGGGGAGGGGTTATGCCAGACACACAGGAGCACCCACAGTGCCTGGCCAGGTGCAAAATTGACCTCAGACCACCCATGCTGGACTGTCAGTGGGGAGAGCATGCCAGGGTGGGTCCTGGGCTGTGGCTTCCCTGGAAGGCTCGGGCTTTGTCTGTCAGTGGGAGGCATGTGGAAATGCAGGCACATGGGTGACCTTTTCTGCCCTCACAACTTGAGAACAAAACCAGGAGGACTCAGCTGGCCTACAAACAACCTTGTTCCATCTGCTACACTGACTTCAAATTGCACCTTAATTTAAAATCCTTCAATGGCTTCTTAATGCATGTGAAATACAGTGTAGACTCCTTGCCCCCAAGGCCCCTTCTCTCTCTCAGGCTCCACTTCTGCAGCTTTCTCCTGAGTTCACTAAATTAGCCACTCTGGCCTCTCTCTTTTTTTCATTTCCTCAAATTTACCAAACTCTACTGTATCTTTGAACATGCGCTTCCATCACTCTGCCTGTCCTGAGAGTTCTTTACAGTGTTCGTGTGTGCAATCATTTTATTTTTGTTTTTTCTTAAGCTCTGCAAGGGCCAGGAGTCAGATACCTGTATTTCTTACACACTTTTATACCCCCAGCTGCCTCTGCACTATTAGCATGATTTCCTAAATAATACCTGCTGAACGCATAAACTGTTGAATCAAGTTAATACAAAGCACAATTAGAAGTGTTATTATTGGGAAGCAGGCAGGAAATCTATTTCATTGAGACCAGAAGGAAGAGGAAAGGAGAGGTACAGATCCACAAGGGTTGTAGCCTTGAGCTAGGAAGGTATTTGAAAGCTTTGATTTTCTCTCTAAACTAGGAGGACAAATCCCCTTTCCAGAATTAATGAGTAGGCTAAGTTTGAAGAGAGACATTGAAATTCAAATTACTACTGAAAGGAATGTGGAAATGGCTAAAGAAAAATCTGGAAGAAATGGTAAATGGTTCAGGAGTGTTGGAAACCATGACCTTGTAAATGACCTCAATCAACAGAGTTGAGAGATTTTCTGCAGCTCTCTGCACAGCAGTGTAGGTTTTGGGGGGAAATCAGTTAGCTTCATTGAACCAACGTTTAAAGTTTGAATAATAGATGTGAGGAAAGTTTAAAGGGGTTAAAATATTTTGAGAACAGTGGCAAAAGTGATTGAGCTGATTAACTGTTGTCTTACATTGAGAAGATAAGGAAATGAAGCCAAGGAGTGCTCCTAGCTGGTGACAAAATGGAATGGCGACACGAGGGAACTCCACATGGAGAAAGAGAAGGGCAAAGGGGCAGGGAGGGGTGGGGCAGAGAGATCTCTTTAGAACAAGACAAGGTTTCTTCCCAGATCTTTTTATTTTTGTTTATCTATAAAAATACGGACCACTTCATCAGTTTGTGAGTCATCCTTGCACGGGGGCCATGCTAATCTTCTCTGTATCGTTCCAGTTTTAGCCTATGTGCTGCTGAAGTGAGTACCCAAGATCTTTCTATACCTGATGACATTTTAACTTCTTTATGACTATGGTCTTGCAGAATGATTAAGCCAAGAATATTTTATGGAATGTGTGGTAATGAAGTGATTCATGTGGCAGTGGCACAACCAGGCCACCTCAGGTGCTATTAACGAGTCATGCATTTCAACAATTTCCAGAGGCAATTTGATAAATGACTCAGGATAAATGCAGATTACCAGCAAGTTTATATTTGGAAAATTTCCCCTCTGGCTGGGGTGAGTGAGCATTCCTCCAAAAAATATGTTTAATGAGGCACTGCATTAATCAGCCATCCCCAGGGTCTGTAATGTCTCCCTGAGTATTGGAGCTAATTGCTTAAAAAAAAAGTTTTCTAATAAATCTGTTCATTACCTCTACACAGAGCATATTAAGAGGAATCACATATCTGTAGTTGTTTACCTCGATTAACAAATATTATTGATGAAACAAAGCTACTTCAGGTATGATTTAGCAATAACACAGCAAAAGGACAAGTCAGAACATAATTTTCAGTAAAATCATAACAGGCAAAGTAAAAATTAGACATCTGTATCAAGAATAACACAAATACATGCACATACTACTTTACAAATCTTGTCACATATATTTAGCTTATTTGATCCTTACAACAAACCTGTGAGGCATTACTATCGTCTGCCTAGCTTACAGATGAGAAAACTGTGCTTTAATGATTTCATTGAGTTATCTAAGGTCACTGTGAGCAGTTTCTCACCAAATATAGTAGTATATTTTAGATGTAGTATGTCAGGTGGAAGGGTTAACATTACTCAACAGGATGGTGCCTTGGGAAGGATCTCATCCAGTCTTAGTTCAGTCAGAGCTGGAGATGAGTGCAGAGTGGCTCCAATAGGAGAATGCATTTCTATTATGGCTACGCTAGGTGGCAGTAAATGCCACCACTACAGACTAGGGTTCGTCACTACAGACTCTTGGCTTTAAGTGGTCAAAGCAGGAAGGAGGAGAGAAGCAAAGCAATGCCCTTCTTTCAGTTTGTGTGTGCAAGCACAAGCATGTGCGTGCATGCATGTGTTCATGACAGGGGAACTGAAAAAGGAATAGAACTGTTACTGTACTCTGTGCTGTGTCCAAGACCACCGGTAGATATGACCAACATGAGAGAAAGACCTTCATATTTGGCACTTCAGTATATACTGTGTTCTCCTAGCCCATACCTGTAAGCCAGTTAAATATTATGTGATATCCAAGGTTATCATTGTCACTGAGTATAAAAGTGGGTGTTCTCTCAAGAGAAAGCATGAATTTGGTGCATTAATGCTTACAACTGTCTTTCTCCTCAAGTGTATTCTATCTATGAGCTGGCAGAGAAGAGCAACTCACAGTGTCTTTTGGGTAAAGGATTTCAATAGTTGAGGGAATTCAAGCAACTTTGATGCTTTTCTGGTTTGGTAGTAGTCAGCATTGCTAGAGGTTAGCTGCAAATTTTGGTATTGGATAAAGAATGGAAGTTCCTGATTAGAGCATTCCACACCCAAAGATATGGGGCTGGAAATGAAGATTTGAAATCCAGCTTTCCCACCGAATGGTGTTTAGAGGACATCCTTAATCTTCTGAAAGTTAATTTAAAAAAAGTTCCATTTGTCTATCTTTACCAACTGTAGGGATACCCCATCCTATTTATAAAACCAAAGTTCCCGTCAATTTGAAGAGTGTTCTACTTGAGGAGATTCCTTCTCCATGGGAGGCAGCTGCCTTTCTTCTGGCACTGGGGGTAGGTCAGGTGCTTTCTGCCCACACCTTGCAACGGTGAAGCGACTCATGTGAAGAGCTTCCTCATACCCAGGAAGGGTGTCCCCGGAGGAGGCCAGCTGGCCCAGGGAGCTGTGGGAGTGGGCTACTGCCAGGATCCTCCGAGCTGCAGGGCCAAACACTGACTGCAGGGCTGGTGAGGGAAGAAGGAATAGAGATAAAGTAAACCTGACATCCTCAGAACTCTGACTTACAACACAATTTCCCTTTACTCTTAACAAGTGTCCAAACTCACTGTCAGCCTTTGCCACAGATGTTGTGAAAAATCCTGTGAAGCTTGCTTAGAAACCGATTTCATTTTCTGCTGGAAGATTCTGTCTCCTCTGGCATCCTCAAATAACTGAAATTGTGCTCCCATCTCTCACCCTTATTAGATTTACAACCTTTTAGACCAATCCACTGATGCTGCACACTCCTTTGAAATATTTATTTTTGTCTTATTTATCTTTTCTCAAAATGACTGTGAGAACTGGGAGGCAGGAAAGGTTATTCTCTTTGCAAAATAAATATCACAAGTGTTTTGCCACGTGCTGTTCTGCCTGGTATTTACTCTTCAGTTTTAATAAAGGATGTAATATAAAGAAGAGACCAGGAGGAAATAAAATGTCTTATAATGATCAAAGGGATCATTGGGGCTCATACTTAGTGAATCAAGACTTGGAGAATAAACAACTGAGAGTACATATGACAAATTTCTCTAAATATATAAAAATATAGATAGAAAATACAGGTTTTTACAAAATCCAAGTTATTTTTTGAAAAGGGATATGGTCAGAGCTTAAAATAAGTATGGACGGGGTAATCCTTCTTACAAAACACTTCCGACATTGTCTCCAGCATTTCATTTCCCCTTCCCTCTATCATCAGGCAGGACCAACATTTGTGAACACAGCATACATGAGAGCCCAGGTCACTGCCTTGTCAGGTTTCTGGTGATTCAAATCACTCTGAGGTCTAGAATCTTTGGTACCTAATTAGTGTTTTTATACCACTGTGCCATCCTAATCATTTGTTTAAACTTGGGTTCACTTCCCACATATAATGTGAGTGTACTCACAGGTGATCGTGCTCTGGAGAGTGCTATCGTGATCAAAAGCGATGACCGTCACTTCGTAGGGTGGCCGGCCCTCATCTTCCCCACTTTGCTGGCGACTCAGACAGCAGCGGAAGCACATGGAAGTCAGGCCACACAGGAGAAGCAGCCCGCCGATGACCACCAGCAACCTGCGAGGAGCCCGGGGCGGCAGGCAGTGAGGGCCCTGGGACCTGCTTTGTTTCCCAACCTTGGCACAAGCAGCCTTCTGTGTCTGCATTTTGATTCTTTATAGAGTAATTATAAGGTTTTTAATTCCAAGGCTTTCACTTCACATACATACTTCCTTATTTTGTCAGCAAGACTAAGTCAACCTGTTGAACAAGAGATTTCATGTGGTTTGGAAGGCTGCTTTTTACTTAACTGAAGTAATCTCTACAGGCTTCTGCTAGAATTGATCTGAGAATGTACACAATAATCTGTTGATGTGGCCGGGGAGGTGGTATTGAAATAGGAAATCCTGGCATATTGTCACATAGGGTAGTGATGAGGAAAAGCATCATGATTCCATGTGATGCCAGTTAAGTAGGCTGGCTGTCGCACACGTATTTATTTTCCTGCTGTCAAATATTTAAAAACTAAAAAACCTAAAAACATATATACGTCTAAGAAAAATAAAGTCCGTTACTAATGTCTTTGTAGGTATTATAGCTAAAACTTACCATATATACCAGAGATGTACCCAGTCTGTGGTCAGGCAACTATGAAGAAAGAACAAAGTTTTTTGCAATAAAAATATAGTCAATGCTATGATACCTTCTTGTAACAAAAGCATTACAGGTTATACTGACTTCAATGTAACCAGCTGAATCTATCATGTAATGGGATGCTTTAAATAGTTTTATGCTATAGATGGCATTGTGCAAATCATTTTGTAAGTCACTTTAAGATAGACCAAAGTAGTGATCATGAAATAGTATTAACAGAAAATGTAACCATGACCATTGTAAAACATATGATGACAGTTACCAAGAAAGAGCTTCCAATGCTAATGTACAGAGAGTGAGTTTGAAAGTGGATGTGAAAGTTAATGTTTCTATATGTTTGAGGTCAGTAAATTTAAACATAAAGATAATTTCAGTTATAAGTATGAAAGAAATACAACAACTTTTGTAATTTATGTTTTGCACGTTGTTGAAAAAAAAAAAGGCCACCAAAAAGCCATACAAACTCCCACCATAAAAAAGGTCTTACATTTTCACATTAAGAACCAAAACTGATATACATCATGGCTGAGGCCCAACAAAACAGGGGGAAAATGTAGATACCAACTTCACCATGATGAAAATTAAGTAAATATTTCTGAATTAACTAGCACAGTCATAAATTTTCTCTATAGGGATAAAAAATATGGATTGTATGAGAGAAGGAATATAGGATAAGCTCAGGAACGGGAAGGGGAAGGGAGAAAAATGTTTACTTATAAAGATGAATAAAATTAATCATGCTTTCTGATATATTGATCTACTGAAATGTACTGAAATGCATTCTACATCTCTTTGGTAGCACAGTGTGGAGTGTATAGTTGGGCTCTTCACTGAACAATGCCTCCTCTGGGTTTTCTCACATTCCCCATTTGTTCAAAGCCCTTTCTAGTGCTACCACATCACAATTCTGATTCCATTAAAAACGACTTCCTACGGTGAGGTCTAAAACCTCTGAGATGCTATGAAAGGAACCACCGCCATCCCCATTTCCCTTGGGTGTAACACACTTGGCTATTGGGAAACACTTCCCATGGCTCAATATGTGTTTTCCTTCAGCCTGAGTAAGTCTTTTCTCCAAACTGTCCTTGACTTTTTTTTTACTAGTTTACCTCCAACTGGATGACTTTTTTTCCCTTTTTATCTATGTCCTCCATGTCTACATAAGACTTAATTGTGACAGGTTTACATTATGGACTATTTCAAAGTAATAACTAAAGTCTGTAATAAATATTAACATGCCCTAAAAAAATAGAAAATGTTCTTTAGATTTGAAGTGGTGATGCATCTTTGGAAATCACCCAAATGCATCTTTGGAAATCACCCAAATGCATCTATCTGCCTGTGACTAAGATATTGAATCCAATCTGTCTTGATGAGTCACTGAGACACAAGAGTAAGAAAGTTTACTGCACATCTCTATGACTGCATACATTGAGATTAAGTCTGCTGCTGTGAAGCGATGATTGGCTTTGGAAGAAAATGCTATCAGCAGTATTATTTTGAGTACTTAGAATGACTCATACGCATGTCTTTTTTAGGGTAATCAGTCTGTGAGATAAATAAACCGATGCCCATTTAAGTAGAAATAAGGGAAGTCACAGATATCTGATGACATCTTGACCTTATTCTGTGTATTGATGTTTATGTCTGTCTCTCCTTCCTCCTAATTTGAACTCTCAGATACTTACTGTTCAGGACTGACACAGTTCTCTTCACATCTTGCCCAAGGAAGAAGCTGTAGGAAGGGAAATGGTCTCAGACAGGGAAATGGTCTCAGACAGGGAAATGGTCTGATCATCTCTGCCCAGCAGCCTATCCATCCCTCATGACTATGCTGTTGGATCAGCTGGTGAGGGCAGGATACATACAAGGACAAGGTCATAAGGTCAGTCATGTTTAGGACTACTTGTTTTCATCTCTTCCATGCCTATGAACTGCTACATTTGAGTGGGGAGAAACTAGAAGAGCAAATTTCTAATCTGTTTCTTTTCTTTCTCTTTCTTTCTTTCTTTCTTTCTTTCTTTCTTTCTTCCTTTCTTCCTTTCTTCCTTTCTTCCTTTCTTCCTTTCTTCCTTTCTTCCTTTCTTCCTTTCTTCCTTTCTTCCTTTCTTTCTTTCTTTCTTTCTTTCTGTCTTCTCTCTTTCTCTCTTTCTTTTTCTCTCTTTCTTTCCCTCTCTCCCTCCCTCCCTCCCTTCCTTCCTTCTTTCCTTTCTCTCTCTCTCTCTTTTTTTCTTTTCTCTTCTTCTTCTTTTTTCTTTTCTTAGGGTGGTAGTGGGGCTAAGCATCACTGCCTGTGTGAATCAGAGGCAACATTTATATTAATCTGTTTCTCGCAGAAATTTCCTGATCTGCCCCTTCAGCATAGGGTGTTGTTATTGCCTTCCTAACTCTTTCCCAGGGCAAATCGAATTCTAACCCACTGCTCCTTTTCATCCCTCAGTACATTAATAACTCACTATAGGAGAGGAGAAGGAGGAGGAAGACGTATTTATTGAATAGCTACTCTCTTCCAATAACTTGAAAGACTCAATATTTCACAAAATCAACAACAAAGACCACAAAAGTCCTCTAAAAGTGATAGATTTATGCTTATTGGGATTTTGTGGGTGGGTGGAAGCACACATACTCATGACATCAGAAAAGGTTTTGTAAAAAGACTAACAGCTGTCCTCCTCCACTGATAACATGTGAGAACCTTGGGGTTTTGTTTCAGTTTAAAACAGTTGGCCACTAGCATGACAAATTATGTTTCTTCAGCCCAGCCTTGGAACTTTGTTTCATTTTCTTGACTAAAGGCTAAAAATGCCTAAATTTCTCAGAAAATAAAATGCCTGTTTCAAGCCTGTTGCAAAAAGACAAGAAAAAAAGAAAAGAAAAGGAAGGAAAGGTCAAGGGAGAGAAAAGGAAGCAACAAGTAAAAAAAAAGAAAAAGAAATGGATTTTCAGAAATTAGTTTAACCGGTGTATAGGAAGTGAAACTGATAGCCCCCTCCCTCCTGGGAGCTGGACAGGAACCTGCTAGCAGGCAGTTTCTTCATTTGCTCTCCTTCTTAATAGATTTCATAGCTCTGAAAACTTCCCCTTGATAATTGTCCAGAATCCCTCAGGCCAGTGACCCCTTTCCCAGTTAAAGAGTTAGTTACTCAGGGGCTTCCGAATTTGAGTGGGAAGAAATAAAAGATCCCAAGTATTTTTGAAGTGTTTTCCCTCTTCACTTATTTCTTATCTGGGGGCTCCTACAAACTTCAAGAATAATATTAGGGCTGACGTGGGAAACTCTGCTTAGGAGAATTATATAGCTAGTTGTGATAATTTACTTGGATATTTGAGAGATGAAGCAGATGTTCAAATGTGAACATTCAGAAGTAGCATTTCTGAGCTGCTGGAGCTATCTTACTTGTATCTATGGTCACCCTGATATCTGTCCTGTTTCACAGATGTCATTCGTCGCACCCATGCTATGTCACCCTACAACACTGAGGAAACATTCCAGTTACTCATTTCCTGCTCCCCCCTTGGTTTTAGGTATGTCTTTCCCCCTCATTCCTTTCCCCCCCAGATTCTTCTAAGAGTTGGGTTATCGGAGGAAAGAAACAAAAACTTTATTCCTGTATTTTCAAAACTTACCTGGATGAAATACACCAGGGCAGAGATCAAGATGGCGTGGACTTTCACTCCCATTGGGCTGAGCTCCTGCTTCTTGAGGATTGCTCACCGCGCATCTCCTACCTCCTTTCTATGCTCTGTGCCTTGTCTGACTTCTTGACCTACAGAACTTAGGAGAGAAACTTTTCTTAGCAGTAAATCATTATTTTCTCTCTCTCTCTCTCTCTCTCTCTCTCTCTTTTTTCTCTTCTCTTCTCTTATTCCCATGGGCTTTTATTTTCTGTAGTCTTTCCCATCCCTTTCATCCTGCCTTCTTTATTTCTATTTCTGGTTTTAGGTTCTCCACATTTGCTTCCTTGGTCTTTTCTTTCCTTTTACTCTTAATCCTTTCTACATGTCACTAAGTTTCTCCCACTGCCGGCAAAAGGAAGACATTCGAGGTGGACAGATAAGTCCTCCGAATTAAGTATTTTTCTAGGCAGTAATGAAAAACTTGACTTGGAGGAGGGTCCAAGGCAGACGGGTCTTCTCCATCAGAAAAGAAGTGACACTCTGGGTTCTTTGCCACAGCGCACTGACTGCTGAAGGTTGAACGCACCCTGCCAAACTCCATTCACTCATCCTTCGCGTGATCAGCCCTCCTCTCTTACTCTTTGAACCCACCCCCACCCCCTTCGCTGTGTTGATAATCAACTCTCCTGGTTCTGGGTCATTTATTTCCAATCATTGGAGTAGGATTGAGAGTTTGCCAAATGAACTGGAAATCCATCCCATCTTTGGAGAGAGCAGATTTAAAGATTAGAATTTCTGGGTTGTCCATGAAACCCCCCTCCACTCTGACTTAAATTCCCATTGAAACACATAAGTCAGACAGACATATTTTAAAAAAACAAACTGGGTTTCAAAACATTTCTCTCTCGCAAATAAAATCTAAGTTAAGAGTAAAGTTAAACACATATGGAAAACGCATAGAATCATAGAATGTTTGTAAAGAAACATATCTATAGGAACAAATAAATGTCATTTAAATGATTTGTACCTAAGTTGGTAATCTTCTACTTAACACTAAGTATTGAAAATTTTTAACACAAAGTATTTCATAAGAAACTCAGACATTAATTTATAAAGATATATTTATTTCATACAAACAGAATAAAACTGCCTTTCAGATCCTTTTTTAAGGGAAACTGTTGAGTGGGATTGATTCTAAGAGCCCTCACACCGCATGGCAATGTGGGAGGATGGAGAATATAAACTTAATTTTTTTCTTAACTAAGGAAATCAAACAGTGAGAGGAAAGCCTAATGTGACATTAATGATTTGAAATCAGTCAGTTTCAAAGCTACCAAACAGCACCATTTTTTTACTTAAAAAAAGGGGTAAGAAAGTTGGTGTTTGGTGAACAGTATTTTCCAGATTTCAGCAGAAAGCTTGGCAAAGATCAGGGGCATTTCATAGGAAAAGGAGAGCAGAACTCTAATCTAGGCCCTGCACTGAGTTATTAGGTCATTTTTCCAGTCCTTAATTTTCTCATTCATAAAACAGGAGTGGAACGTCCACTTGACCTGCCCTAGATCTTGTTTTATGGAGAAAATGCAATCCGAGACACAAAGGCATTTTGATTATAATTATTTCTTGCCATGTACGTGGGCAGCATCATTCACCCTTTCTTCCTCTTTCTTTTGTCAGAAAGACAGTAGTGCATCATGGCTAAGAATCCAGCCTGGTTTTCTGGGATTAAATAAATGTTTTCTCACTTACTAACTGTGCTATGTTGGGCAAGTTATTACATCTCTCTGTTGGTTAAGTTTCATTATATATAAAATGGGGTGATAATAATAATGATGATCTTTCTTCATAGATTTATGGAGATTAAACAAGTTAATGTGTGTAAAATGCATATAATCATCCTGATAAGCATTTTACAAGTGTTAACTATGATGACCTCGATTTCCACCAAGTTTTACCAGTGACCTTCACCTTCATGGATAACTGATGTCCTCCATGCTTATCTTTGTCACCATGACCATGTTTTACCTTTTCTGACATTTCAATTCATGGATAGTTTCCCTTGCTAACCTGGCCATCTATTCTCCCGATCATGCCTGCCTTCACCTGCACAAACAGGTTTGCCAATTAACATGACTTTCTTTCCCTCCCAGAGCACTTTCCTGCCATGTGATTACCATCAACTTTCTGCCCTACAGCTTCTTTACAGGTTTGAACAAAATAGGATTCTGTTAATGACCTCCTAGCTACTTTTCTTAGAATTACTAGTGCCACTTTTTTTTTTACCTCACTGGATTATTTCCTGGAGAAATAAACTTTTTGTTTATCCTAATGGAAGTGACAATTTTAGCTCTGAGCTCAGCCCCATAGAAGAGGGAAGACTGAAGAAGGTACACAATGGAAGGGCAGGTAGCTGCGGGAAAGGGGACTGATCTTGTTATGATCCTACACAATCTCATATCCATTAAGCTTGTGAATCATTAGCTTATACACAGGTAGTTAAGGACTTGGAGTGGAACCGATGGAGGGCACATGCACACAGGCCTTTTCATCTACGCTTCAGGGAATTGTTATACAATAGCTGTAACATGTGAGGCTAAAGAATTACTTAGTCCTGGCTCCTTTGAATGTTCTCATTTTGACCTTGCCTAAGTCAGGTGACCAGACTCCCTTCCTCTCTGTGCCTTGGTGAAATAGAGGCCAGGACTATTTTTACTCCGAAGCATCAAGCATGAATTATAAAGAGCTGAGCAGTGAGCCACAATCCTGGCTTCAAAAATGAATAATATGGTAGAAGAACCCAGTTCCATTTTGCAACCCCTCCACTGCAAAGTGTCTCTAGCAGATGAGTCAGTTCTTCAGCCTGAGTATTAAGTGGCAACTTCAGAGTCTTTAAAGTCAACAACAAGATTAAGTTTAAGGAAGTTTAACAAAATAGGGGGATGAAGTTTGTCACAGGAGTATTAGTTTTATGTGCCTTGTAATACATTACCACAAATTATATGAACAGCAATTGCAAAACAGCATGTATTATCTCACCCTGTCTGTGAGTCAGAAGTGCAGGCACAGCTTAGGCGAGTTCTCTCCTTGGGATCGCATGAGGCTGCCATCAAGGTGTTTGCTGGATTGTGTTCTCATAGGAAGGTGCAACTAGAGAGGAATACACTTCCAAGCTGTTTTTAGCAAATTCATTTCTTTGTGGTAGTCATATTGATGTGAGTTTGCTTCTTTAAATCCAGGCAGAGAAAGAGAAGAGGGAGAGAAACTCTCCCATATGTAATCCACATACATTCCATCACCTTTGTCACACTCCCAGACACAAATTGCACCCACTTTCAAAGTGAGGAGATTACACAAGGTCATGACCATGAGGTTGTTACAGAGCAACAAGGGGGGGACTGGGACGATATACTATTACCAAAAGGAACCCCCCAGGTTCGTTATGCCCGCCACCAGAGGAAAGACGTCTCTTTATACCAGAGATTCAGTGAAAAGGAAAGGAATTTATTATTCATTCAAAATAACACAAACTAAAGTCTCTCACAAATGCACACAGTCCTCCCAGCACCCTCCACGTGGCAAAAGGGAGCACTTCCAAAGCCTCGTGGTCCTGACTCTCACCCAAGCCGAATGGTCCCAATCAAGACACCAAAGCTGCATAGTCCTAAACAGATGTGTGGTCCCCAAAAAGAGACATGTGGTCCCAAAAGAGAGACACGTAGTCCCAAAAGGAGAGACACATGGTCCCAAAAGAAAGAGATGCCAAATGGCTGCCTCGCTGGGTTTAAATCCCTGTGCCAATCTTCCTCTGCAGCCCCATTTCTGGCTCCTCCCACAACTGGCTACAGCTGCCAGCATTCTGGGCAGGTGTGACCCTGTGGTGTGGAGCCAATTATCTCCAAGCTCTTCTGGACCCTATTTCAAATCCCTATTTGGGAATCCCCTCTTGGCTGCAGCCTGTTACAAGGTGGCAGGGATAATGAGAGCGACTTAAAGTCTGTCAAGTCTGCCCAGCTATCTGTCACACAAGGATAATGGAATTACCCCCCTGGATCTTTAAAAACAGGGGGAATCCAGTATGTCTGCCAATGAATGAATGGATAAACCAAGTGTGGTCTATATATATACAATGGAATATTATTTAGTCTTCAAAAAGAAGAACATTCTGATACATGCTATAATTTGGATGAATCTTGAAGACATCATGCTCAGTAAAATAAGTCAGATACAACAGGATGAACATTCCATACTTTCACTTATGTAAGGTACCTACAGTAGCAAATTCATGGGGACAGAGAATAGAATGGTGCTGTTCAGGAGCTGGGAGAAAGAAGGAGAGAGGCATTTTGTTAGTCAAGGTCCTCCAGAGAAACAGAACCAATAGGATGTGTATACTGAGAAAGAGATTAATTATAATAAATTGACTTATGCAACTATAGAGATTGGCAAATCTGAGACCCTGGAAAACCAGTGACACAGTTCCAATCCAAAGGCTGTCTGCTGGAGAAATTTACTTATTTGGAGAAGAGTCAGCTTTTTTGTTCTACTTAGGCTTTGAAATGATGGGATGAGGCCCAGTCATCACACTAAGGATGGAGGTATGCTTTACTCCCATCATTAAAATATCAATCTTACCCCAAAATATACTCAAAGAAACACTCAGAACAATGCTGGACCAAATATCTGGGCACCCTGTGGCCCAGAGAGGTCCACACACAAAAATAGCCATCACAGGAATTACCGTTTTATAAATACAGAGTTTCGTTGCAGAAGATGAAAAAGTTCTGGGGATGAAGCGTGGTGATGTGAGTGTACATCAATGTAAATGCATCCAATGCCACTGAACTGTATACCTGAAAATGGCTAAAATGGCAAGTGTCTTGTTAGATAACTTTTACCCCAAACAAAGAGAGCAACCCACTTTTTTCTATCAGGCTTGAATAGGGAAAGGCATAAAAGGCTGTTCTGAGGAGCCAGATCACCCAGAAGGTGGCGACTGTCAAACTCTCCCTGTCGTGGCTTCTCCATATGAGCTTCTAGTTTGAGAGAAGTCAGAAAAATGTTGAGGGTGACCCTGGTTGGGTGGTCTCTACCTCACACTGTACTGTTAAAGTCTTCCAGAGAGTGCATTGTCTCTGCCTCAGGGATCTGAAAAGTCTCTCACTGAGTTATTTCAAGAGATGTTCATACTGAATTTATACTACGTCAGCCATCACCTATGTTTTTGTTTTCAATTAACTGACATAATGGAAAAAACTACGAGCCGAGCTCTTGACTGGCATCTTATAAAAAAGAGTTATTCAGCAAACCACCTAAACTTTCTGAGCTTCTGCTCCACTTCCTCAAAATAAAGGAACTAAAATAGATTTCTGTTAAATTTCTTTGTACTTAAAAAAATCCAGCTTGTGCTATGTGTTTACAATTAAGAATCTCACATATTAACTATCTATTCTTTGCAGAATATTACACAGTTTCTATGGTATGCCAGACTGGGAGGGAAGAATGATTTTCTTAACATAAACGGGTCTATCTTTACTATTAAAGGACTTGTGATTTAGTTGGTGAGGTGAAATAACATTAATGGAATTGAAAATCGATACAGGCACTGCTAAATACATTAAATAAGGGGAGAAAAGGAATTGATGATGATAATTCTACTAGGAGATGCTAAGTAGAGAAGATTTTTTAAAAGAAAAGAATGTATTGTATTTGAAGTACGGACAGGATTTATAGAGCTCATTACCAGGTCCTGAACTACTTAGGGTGACTTCCATGAGTGTTGACCCCTCCAAACATGGATGATTATGCTCTCTCGAGTCTTGTTGTTGAAGTGTGGCGGTAAATATCAGAAGTCTGAGAGATCTACTCACTTATATGTGGAATCTGATGAACATAATAAACTAAGAAACGAAAAAATCACAGAAGCTTAGATACATAGAACAGATTGACAGCTGAGGGAAAGGAGGGGTTGGGGAGGAAAGGAAGAAAGGTGGTGAAAGGGTTAACCAAAGGACCTATATGCACAACTCATGGACATGGACAAGGACGTGGGGATTGGCTGGGGGTGGGGCGAGGGTGAGGCTGGGTGATGGAAGCGAAGGTGAGCAAAGTGGGAACAACTGTAACAACTTAAATAGTATTTTAAAAAAGGAAATATGAACACCATTAGAAACACATACTAAGGACATAACCACAAAATCACAAAAGAAAAAAATGCAAATGGTTAAGAGACATAATATGACATCTCTCTAGTAGAAATAGATATAGAAATCTTCTCAAATTGTCAGATATTGAAAGTGCTAACAATGAAGTAAACATTTCATACATACTTCTAAAAAATTAAAAATTAAAAGAAATATTTACTGACAACCTAAAAAAACAAAGAAACAAAAAACAAGTAAGAGATCTAGCTCAATCTTAGGCCTCCTCTTAGGAAAACAATTCTGGCTCTGGCTGGTGTAGCTCAGTGGATTGAGCACAGGCTTGTGAACCAAAGCATTACTGGTTTGACTCCCAGTCAGGGCACATGCCTGGGTTGCAAGCCATATCCCCAGTGTGGGGTGTGCTAAAGGCAACCATACACTGAAGTTTCACTCCCTCTCTTTCTCCCTCCCTTCCCCATCTCTCTAAAGTAAATAAGCAAAATCTCTTTAAAAAAAGAATACAATTGTTTCTGGTGCTGTGTGTATCTTTGGGTGCTTTAAACATAGTCACATATATCTTTTTGAGACACTTCTTACAACCATAATCCATAAACTATATTATATACTAGTCAGATAGGTGAGGAAGCCAGGACAATAGAGAAACTGAGACATAGGTAAATGGCCAAGCAGTTTACAGCCACCTAGTAAATCACAAAATCCTGTGTTGCTTAACCAAGGACACTTAAGAGTAAGTGGTTTCCACCTCATCCCACCCGGAGGGTAAATAGCTTAAATCACCCTACTCCGAAAGATAACAGAAGTCTAATTAGTACAATTTGTGTCAACCATACTCCAGGACAGATGAAGTCTGGGAATAAGTCTCTTCTTGGCACATCAGCATAAAGCTGATGAATATTTGGTTGAGATCCTCTCCTAAAACCTCCCCTAGAATTCCTGCCTTTAGCCTTTGGAAAACAGATAAAATCCCTAAGACAAATGACCCAGCAGGAGCTCCTCCCGTCTGTAGCACACCACACCTTTCCCTTCTCCCTCTTCCTCTTCCCAGGCACATTACCTTTGCCTTTCTCTCTCCTAAATTCCAAGGACCCTCCTCTTGCCTCTAACTCGTTTCTTGAGCTGACACAGCCCTACTGGCTCACATCCACTGCCTCTGTCATTTTCTAAATAAACTTTCACTTATAATTTGAGTTCCTTAGCTCTGATTCTTCCATTGCCAAACTCAAGAACTGAGGTCCCAACGCTGGTAACATCTGGTGCCATCTTGCCACTAATGCTAGGATATGATGTGCTCACCAGAAATATGTGCCATGTCCATTTCATCAACAAGTGTACTTACATGTCTCACTTTACTCCACTAGAATATTGATAGGATATGAAATAACTGAGTCACTGTGGGGACTGATAATGTGCCTCATCATTGTGGTATCAATCTCCTGATCTTTTAAAAAAAAAACAAACAAACCTGGCTGGCGTAGCTCAGTGGATTGAGTGCGGGCTGCGAACCAAAGCATCGCGGGTTCGATTCCCAGTCAGGGAACATGCCTGGGTTGCAGGCCACAGCCCCCAGCAATCACACATTGATGTCTCTCTCTCTCTCTCTCTTTCTCCCTCCTTTCCCTCTCTAAAAATAAGTAAATAAAATCTTAAAAAAAACAATCTCCTGAGATTCTAATTATGTGAAAGTCACCATGGTGTATGCAGAGATGGATCCAACCTTGCTTCCTGGCTCTCCTAGTCAAGGGGAGTGGGATAGATAGGGCTTGAGTGATAAAGGCAAGTAACACTGATATGTTCAGGCTAATTTGACTGGAATATATTTGTTACATTCTGAGATTTTGTATCTGTAGGTATATAGAATTATGTCATAGAATAACACTTTAAATGGTAGATAAGCTGTTTTCAGTTTGGTCTCAGATACCCTGCACAAAAAAAGGCAATACAGTATAGAGATCACCGACTACAGTGAAAAACAAGCAAATATGGACACTGGAATCAAGCTGGTCCAAGTGCACACTCCTTCACCAGCTCAGTGTATCTCACCCATTTGAATTTCAGTTTCCTTACCTGAAGACTGGGTACAAACTCCTCTCCTCTAATGCTCATGGAAAGTACAGTTTTTCCTTTCATAAATCATTTAGTGAAATATCCTGAAATACTCTCAGAATCACCACTTTCCCTGCCTGCAATAGAAATAACCCAAGAATTTGCGTCAGCAAACATGAAGCAAAGCCTCTCCTTCCTCCTACCAATGATTGAGTCACACTGTTAGATAGCAGTCACTATTTAAACACTCCAGCAAAAGCTCTCACATTTTCACTTTGTAGAGGTCCTGACTGCTTCACTTTCTCATTCTTGGAATGAATCTGGATATGACTTGTGATGACCTCAAGAGCAAGACTATGAAGGACCAACCTGAGCAGAAGGCAAATGGAGAGAAAGCTAAAGGTACTAGGAGTGGGTGTATGTGTACAGGGGCAGAATCCCAGGATTAACTTAAATGTGTGAATTAACTGAATATAGGATTAGAGAACTAAAATGCTTGAGAGTAAAGAGTTAATAACTTTTACTTAAAAGAAAAGCAAGTTGAATACAACGGAGATGATGATCATAAAGATGAGGACGATGAAGGAGAATGAACTAACTTGGTTTGCATGATGGTGTAGTAGACAATGGTGATAACTTTTATTGAACATGTATTATGTTCTATGCTCCTCACTTTACTTGCATTAGTTCCCTGAATCTTCACTCCTTGAGATTAAGGCTGTAGGGGAACTCTGCCCACAGAGCCCATCCGCCGCCTGTACCCTGTCCGCCACGGATGAGAATTAGTCGACTAAGACCTGATCTGCTTGGGGAGGAAAGGTGGTCGATCTCTCAAAGGAGAAGCGCTAGGAGACTGTTTCTCAATGGGTTTACATTGGGTTCAATTTGCTCAGGAATACAGGTGAAGCTCATCAATCATGTCAGGCAGTAAGGATCGAACAACAGATACAAAGAACTCTGAAGGCTTATTCTGAGTCAGGGTCAGTTAGCTAAAGGGCTATAAAACTTTGGGGAACAAACTCATTTTATGTTTGGACCCTTATCAGAAAACTAAGGACACTCTTAGCAAAGCAAGTTTCACAGGATTTTATGCATTCTTTCTGAGGCCCAATCGCCCTGGGGAATCTGCCCTTTCCAGCACAGGGCTGCACCACCCTCTGACGTCGTTTCAGGCTTAAATCTAGCAGGGGAAGTAAGGCAGCCAAGAGATTAGGAGAGTTCTTACAGTCAGAATGAGGACTCAGGTTATGACAAAGCCGACGGGCAAGGGTCCATCACCCACTCTTCCTATAGCAACCCCCCACAAGTCCTTCCCTGAGGGCCCCTTCATGACCATGCTTGTCTTAGGTCATCCCTCCCTTGAGGAATCTTACACGTCATTGGCTAACCAGTCATCCACCTGGGGCCAAGCAGGATGAAGGTAAAAGGGGGCAGAGGCAGTGTCCCTACCAGGAAGATAAGCTTTGTCTCCTTAGTGACTTATGGCCCCAAGGTCTCTTTACTCAGCCTTAGCCATGGGGGCTTACAGTTTCTGAAACCAGGTAGGGCGGTTCCCAACATTAGGTTATAATCATCCTTTTATGGAGGACTAGATGGGGAGCAGGGTTCACTGAACTATCCACTTTAATGCAGCTAGTAAATGGTAGAACTAGGATTGTATCATGATCTCCCATTTGTCTAGAATAACAAGTAAGATCCAATCCATCAGATGGGTCAAAAATGTTGAATTTACCCAGTTTATACAAGACAATTTTTATAATAGTCCTGAAGGCACTGCAAAAAATATATATTTTATGAATTATACAAAACAGATAAAATAATATCCAGGATAGTATAGCATAATTTTGTTTTATTACATACCATTTTTGAAAAATTATAATTTGTTTAATATACACAGTAGTTAAACTGCTTAAGTAAAAGTTAATTTATAATCCCAAATCCATAGACAAACTAGATAGATTGCCTTTTATCTTATATCCATTTTGAGAGAAAGGAATAAAATACGGAAAAGGAAAGTTATACAAATGAAGTCATACAAAGTTAGATAAGACATTCCAGGGCATGTTTCCATCAACAAAATGAAAATTTCTCTCAATAGCAAAAACAAGTGTGAGCGTGTAATAATTTAACATTTTAGCTGATGAATTTAACCTAATATGAAAACAGTGTAGCATTTATAGATAAATCTTTGAATTAACAGTAGACATTTGCTCATTCATTTATTCATTCATTTATTATTCACCAGTATTTACTGGTGCCTGACCATTAGTACAATTATTAAGTAAATTATTTTCTTAGAACCTGTGTAGATCATCACCTACCATACATCTGATTGCTTTCTGATTAGATGATCGATAGGAGGAGCAGGGAGTTGGTGAGTGCTCTCTACCTATGAAGGAGACAGGACAAAGGGTGGACTATAGAAAATGGGAACATGTGCCTTCCCTGCACTGGTGTGGATCCCGTGACCTCTAAAACCTCAGCAGTTTTATCATTCAAGAATGTTGGACATATTTGATCATCTACAGAATGTACCTTTAAGATACTGACCAAGGGCAATGTTGTTTGAAAGCCTGACACAGATATATTTGCCCCTGAGAGTAGGATTAGGTAATTTGCACAAGACACAACTATTTTCTACTTCGTCTCTACTAACTTGCCACACACACTCTAGGACCTTAATAATTCTGAATCAGTAAATGAGGCATATTCCTTTCTATCAAAATTTCTGTTTTGTTTGTGTCATCTGTGGGGCCTAACAGAAGTGCTTCTGACACATGACAACTATGAATGTATTTGACCACTGATTAATTTAGATCACTATGCATTCACACTGGGTATTTTGTAATATGATGTTCCAAGTCATGTAGCTACTTACAATTGAATTAAATACTTATGTCCGGACTTTAATGTCTGTGTGATCTTAGAAAGTCACTAAATTTTTCAGTTTCCTTATTTGTATGTACAAGAGAACATTATCAATGCCTTATTTGTTTTATCTCACAAGGTGAGGAGTCCAAATACATGAGATGTTTTCCTGCTGAACCAACATATATGTCCTTTTGTTAGGTGGTAGAACACATAATTAAACACACACACAAGAGTTACATAATTTCTTTGCTTCTAAATTCATGGTGAATTTTTTCTATTAACAATAGGGCCACAGCTGTTGTAAGTATAGAATATAATATTAATATGAGTCAAGTGAGTATTGAGGTTTCATTTCTAGTTTTCTTTGCTCAATAATCTCAGTTCCTATATGTAATTTTAGTGGAATAAAGGTTAATAGCACAAAATTATCTTGTAATTCTTTAAGACGATATCAGTTAATTAACTGACTAAAGTTTATTTGCTTGACATCAGACCCTCATTTGTGGTATGTTGTGGTATGTGGTGTAATACACACTGTGTGTACTTGTGTGTGCATGTGTACATGCCCAGACTTGATCTATAAAAACATCAGATTCTCTGTTCTGTGGGTAAAGTTGATGCAATCAAGCTGGACTGAGGGTTTCTTGAAGAGTCATTGCCAGGGGAGTAGCCAAAGTAGTTGTATAACCTTTTGAATCAGACACATAGAGTCAAATATCTGGTATTGAATTCTGGATTTTCTACCGTGTCAGTTGTGTGACAATGAGTAAATTACTTAATATCTTGAATTGTCCAGATTTTTCATCTGTAACTATGGGTAATGAATTATTTGCAGAGTCCTTGGAAGGACTAGAAGTAAGTAATGCAAAGCACCAAGTACAGACAAGATCCAAAGAATTGTTTGATTATTTGCCTCCGTCCTTTTCATCTCTCTCATTTTATCCTGTCATTCTAGGTCCTCATTTGCTTTCTTCCCGGTGTTGGTGCCCTGTGGCTGTGACTCTGGCGATCCTTTGTCTGGGTTTATTGGTGACCGTTATAATGCTGACAACACAATGTAAGTGCTGACATGGGGAAGTGATAGAGTAAAAAATGAGAATTTACAATCATGGTTTGCAAATTGGTTTCAGAATACCCACGAACAACCTTGATTTAGATACACTTTAGGCAAACTGTTTTTAGAATGAGTGGGAAGATGAATGGGTATATTGTGCTAGTCTCAAATTGAGGCAGGGAATGAAGATTATGAATCATAGATTTTGTTGCAATTAGTTTTCATAGCTTCATAGACAGAGCCTACATAAATCCAAAAATAATGAGGAAGAAAATAATTTGAAGCTAATTATCCACAAGGTCATCTGAGAGATCCAAAAGTAAAAGAAACCTCATTTAGCTTATGTTGAGTTTTAATAGAGATAATTAAATGCCAATTTAAAGTTAAGAACAAGAAAAAGAATTTTAATAAATAAAACATTTAAAATAAAATATACTTTAAATGTATATATGAGCATAGAGGAAAGAGGTTGTTCAGAGGAAAAGAAATGAAAGAAGGATAAGAGTGGCCAAGAGGGAAAGAAAACGATGCCAATTATCCACCTACTCCACCTGTGTTCTTAGGTTGTAGATCTAAGTAATTGTAGCTATCTAGACCCAGGTTATTAAGGCCTTTAAAGTGCTATTTGTTTTCCAATTGTTGTTTGAGGTCACAAACCATTTATTTTTTTTGATAGATAAACACCAAGGTCTTTCCTAATGATTGAGAGAAGAGCTTTTGACTAGTGATGGTGATTGGAAGGGTCTTTCTCTGAGGCTCTGACCACTTTACAACAAGGTTAAATCTGGCCTTCAAGGCAAGGAGACTGCTTCTTACTGAACCAGCAAACATCTAGAACTGAGATACTTGGCCCTTAACATGTGTTGCCTGCTTGATTTCATAACCTTTATCTCATCCATCTTTCCTAAAATATGCTCCAGCAAAAACAAAAAAAAGTTTGAGACTCTTGTGATACAGGCACTTAATATAATTCTGTGGGAGGGTGTCTCAAAAAATGGAGTGAGTGTCATAGTTCTTAAATAAAAGTAGGAAGTCTGAAAGGGTAGAGAGAGGTCAGAGGAATGAAGACACAAATACAGTAAATCATTAACAACATTCTTACTAATAGTCAGTGAGCCTGGTGGGTGACTGGCTATTTTTAGGCTGTCTATATTTTATTTATGCCACTGATACTTATCTTGGGATTTCTTTTAACTTGTGTGTAACTCTCAACAGCAAATAAAACATTAAAAATAATTTTTTTTAAATTATGGTGTCTGTGAAATTTCCTGATCATAAAAAATATATGTATTGCAGGGATATCAAATAACTTTCAAATCTGTAGTGTTTGAGTAAATTTGGGTCATTTTCCAGCAATTTATCTGTTGTCAATATGGATTATTTAATTCCCTTCTTTGATTTCTTCAAAATTCAGTGGAGGGATTTTTATTGGGGATTGGAAACGAAGTTTTAATTCAGCTATAATTTAGTATCCCAGGTGTCTGACCTTCTAAAGAAACAGCAAGCAAACCTGACTCACCAGGAAAATATACTGGAGGGACAGCTGTTAGCCCAGAAGCAGGGAGAAAAAGCTTGCCATGAACAACAGAGGGAACTCAAGGAAACAGTTGAAACACTTGCCCAGAAGCTGGAAGAGAAATCACAAAAACAAGCAGAACTTTATCAGCAGAACCTGAATCTCCAAGAAATTCTGAAGAAAGCAGCAAATTTTTCAGGTATGGGTGAGAGAGGGATAAGGAGAGGTATTGGAAGCTAGTCTTAACTATTTTTTTTGAAAAGCCTCTAGACACAAAATTAGCATATTGATATATGTATCATTATTTACATAATGTTATAACATCATTTCATAATGTTCTTTACTGCAAGTTCTCTGTATCTGTCATCCTCACCCTATCCTACATCAAATTCTTAAAGTATCTGATTTAATTAAGCACACTTTTGGTAGATTTAAGTTTTCTTTCCTCATAGGAGTTTAATTTCATTTTAAAATTCTAGTTTTGAGATTTCTCTGGAAGAATCCTTCTACCCTTACTGCTTGCCACCGATTCACTTCTCTTTCCATTCCAATGTACCTTAATCACTGATTTCTTTTCCTGAACAGCCTCCTTTGTGGCTGGAACTCCTACCTCTATATCAGCTTTATTCTATGGCACTATTTCTTAAAGTGTACTACATCAATTTACTTTTTTCCCTTTTTACACATTTTATTTATTTATTTTTAGAGACAGAGGAAGGGAGGGAGAGAAGGAGAGAAACATCCTGTATGAGAGAAACATTGATTGGTGGCCTCTCACACACCCCCAGCTGGGGACCTGGCCTGCAACTCAGGCATGTGCTTTGGCCAGAAATCAAACCTAAGACCTTTCAGTTCACAGGCTGGTGCTCAAACCACTGAGCCACAGCAGCCATGGTTGTACTAGATCAACTTAAATTGAGTCAATGTAGATAGGCTGGCTTGGAAGTGTTAGGTAGATACTTCACTAAGACAAAAATATGAGGGGCCCAGGTAGTCAGTTTATGTCAGAAGAATTGAATTGATCTCAGCTGTGTAATGAATTCTAGGAGGCAGGTAGAAATAGTAACACCTAAATGAAGGAGATGAAAATGTGAACTCTGAGGTTATTACAGAAATGATCTGATTTGTTTAGTCTTTCTGTAATGTGTAATTGTCATGCGTATGATTTTAGTCATAATGAGAGGTGGGGGGTGTGAGATGGAGTACGTTACTGCCTTGAAGGCGTGTGGAATCCTACGCTAAGCATTAATAACTTCCACTAATAAGCAGACATTGCTCCAGTTTCTCAGCTGTACGCTCAGGGAATCGCAACCTTGTCACTTCTTTGGATAAATATTATGTAATAACAATTCACAGATAACCATAGATCCTTTTGTTTTATAGATGAAAAACTGAAATCTAGATAAGTTAAATGATAATAATGATGATCAGTTGTTTTGTATAAAGTTTTGCAGTTTATAAATCCTTCTAACATTTACAAGGTTATTTAAATTTCGAAATAAGCAGAAATTTATAGACAAACTAATCTTTAGCTAGTGTCAACCACGTATTTTATCTCTTTAAGGAGGGAGTTATTGAGGAAATAAAAGAATACTCCATTTCAAAGAAGGTTTAAAGGAAGAAGCTAGTATATCAAGGATACAGATGATTATGTAAGCACACATAGCTGCATGCCAGCCAAAGGTTTATTTCAAAGGTGGAGCTGTAAAAATATTTTTGTATTTTATCAGTTGCACGGAATTAAATTTATGTCAGAAACACACAGAACCATCTCTGAAAGATTCCAGGCCTGGATAACTAATTAAAAAGAATAAGTGGTATGTCTTTCACAGGCAGATAAACTGGGTAATGTGCTTCATTCCTTAACAGTGTCAGATAAAGGCTAGTTGTAATACCAAATACAGTACTGTCTTTTTATCAAGCAAATTTGAGAAGATTCTCAAAAAACACTAATAATAAAATACCATATGCAAATAAGTGTCAGTTTTCTCAAGTTTGATTAACTTACTTAAGGATTGTCACAAAAATCACAGCATTCTGAAAGACAAATTTTGTCTTTCTTACCAAGTTTGGGGTCCTCAGAGTGTATATGAAGAGGGAGGAACTCTGAGAAATTACCACGTGTGGTTTGCTTGAGGTCATCCAGCTGGAAAGATTCAGGGTCTTCACAGTAACAGACTTCATTCACATTTAGCCACAGAATTAGTGGTGGTTCTCAACCTCTAGTATACAAAATTATTGCCCAAGTAGTTTCTTAAAACTGCCAGGTTTACCCCAAGGTTATATATCAATTGCCTTGAGGGACATAAAGAATATTCCTGCCCTGGTTGGTGTGGTGCAGTGGATTGAGCACCAGCCTGCAAACCAAAGGGTTGCCTGTATGATTCCCAGTCAGGGCACATGCCTGGGTTGCAGGCCAGGTCCCCAGCAGAGGGCGTGTGAGAGGCAACCACACTGATGTTTCCCTGCCTCTCTTTCTCCCTCCCTTCCCCTTTGTCTAAAAATAAAATAAATAAAATCTTTAAAAAAAAAATATTTCCTGCATTGACTCCAACTCAGACATTTGACAAATAGTGTGAGGTCAACAGACGCACAAGTTTCCAGTTCCCATTTTCTCTGTCAAGTGAAGAAAATGAATGGAACCTATGCCCCAGTGTTGTTATGAGGATTAGATGAGTTAATATATGTAAAGTATTGCCAACCATTTCTGCATTTGGTAAATAAAAATCATAATTAAATGATGATTACATACATAATACTTAAAATAAATGCAGACTTTGAATACCATATTTGGAGATATCTTTCTCACTTTTCTATAGCTTAACAAACTTGCTTACACTGCCTTTTAGTCTACAAAAATGAAATACATGGGTGGGCTAAAAGTAGGTTAATAATAATAAATAATACAATAATAAATAAATAATAATACAAGAGTAAACTCTGTGTTTTGTGTACTCAAACTGTGAACCTATTTTTCCCCACCCCTGTATATTCTTTCCTTTTACATGAAATGATGGGACTAGGCTAATTGAAAAATACAATAAAATTTACTTTCATTGCTTCCATCCTGGCCTTTTTATGCCTGGTTTCATTCACTTTCTCCTCCATAGTTCAGTGCCCTCCTACTTTGTTCTCTCTGATAAAGTCTTCTCTTAAAAGATTATCTAATGCTTTTATGCCACAATGATAATATACATTAAAAGGCTGCCTTTCTCAAGGATTTTGGTATTTTTCACTTTTAGTCATAGCATGGACCAAAGGACTCTGTTTCTTATTAAAGCGATTCCAAGTGCTACTAACGCAAAGAAGAGATGATGATGATGATGATGATGATGATTGATGGGGAGGGGGAAGAAGAGGAGAAGGAAGAGGATTTGGCAGATTCTTTAAAATATCCATAAACATAGACATTGGCATATTTTGTTTATTGCCTAGACCCTCATTTGGGTTTTTTTGGAGTCTGTGAGGATTTTGTAACTGAAAACTCCCTATTTTCTGAAATCTTACTGAAATGAAGGTGTTCACTTTCATCAATATACAGTTCTCCTTAGAACATCTGTATTCAAAGGAAATAGAGTGTGTGCCGCGTATGCATCGTTAAATATCCTAGTAACCACACTTAAAAGTTAGAAACAGATGAAATTAATTTTAGTAACATATTTTATTTAACCCAATGTATTTAAGAGTTTTTCAGCACTAATCAGTATAAAAATTATTCATGGGATACTTTACATTTTTCATATTAAGTTTTCAAAATCATGCATTTATTTTATACTTACAGCACATCTTAATGCAGACTAGGCACAACTCAAGTACTCAAGAGCCACACAGGAACTAAATTAGGAGGCATGATATTTAAGCTTGAATTCATTATTCAAGGATATGAAGTTTTACAATACATAAGCATACTATTTTAAAAAGCAGAATAAGTATTGAGTACTTATTTCCCCACCTTTCACTTTCATTTTCCCAAACTTAATTTAAAAAAAAAAATAGACCAGATTCTAAAATTACATCCCAGCCCAAGCCTTGTTTTTAACAGTCTTGCTTTCTAGTTTAGGTTAATAAAATCAGAGTGTTTTTTCTTTTACTCTAGAAAACAGAGACATTAAGACTCTATAGCTATTGAGTTATTTGCAGAATCTGAATGTAAATCTAATTAAGAATTGATGGTATTCATGTGAGAATCTTGAGGGGAGACTTAAGAATTATAGAAATATTTTTATTCAGGCCTAACTCACTGATTAGATATTTCACACTTCCTAGGTCCTTGTCCCCAAGACTGGCTCTGGCATGAAAAAAACTGCTACTTCTTTTCCGCTGACCCATTTAACTGGGAAAAAAGCCAGGAAAACTGCTTGTCTTTGGGTGCCCAGATGCTGAAAATTAATAGCACATATGATCTGGTGAGTTTTTAAGAATGCGTGTTGGATTGCTGTATTGGCTTAGAGGAAAATAAATCAGGTTTAGGTCCTGTGTGGAAGAGTCTCTGTTTGAGAATCAGGATATCTGTTTACTAGCCTAGCCTAGCCACAAATTCCATACATGACCTTTGACGGACAGGTTATGGAGTATCTCTGTGCTTCAGTAAACATTTCTGTGAAACCATCAAGAGGATGTTGAAGATCTCTTTTGACTCTTTAGTTTTGTGAATACGTAAAACAACCATGCTGACTCCAACATCAACTCAAAAATATTGCTCCCCACAGGAATTCATCAAGCAAGCAAGTGCCCATTCCAGTTTCCCATTCTGGACAGGGTTGTCTCGGAGGAAACCAAGCTACTCATGGCTCTGGGAGGATGGTTCTCCTTTGATGCCCAACGTGTAAGTTTCCCGTTCTTTGTCCAACCTCCTAGTGAAGTTACTGCAGCATTCCACAAAAAGTGTTTTTCTTCCAGAGAGAAGCTCGGGGAATTTCTGAGAGTCTCTTTCCCCACTCCTCTAACACAGGGAGCTGGCCTTCTCCAGAGCTTTACAGTTATTACTGATTTGAAACTTTGAGACAAGGGTAAATTCCTAACACAAGGTGGCAGTAATCTACTTTTGTTTCTTTCTTCCCTCTCTTTTTTTTTTTCTTTTGTCCCCACCTCCAGGTTGAGACTCCAGGGAGCTATTTCCCAGAGGAATCCTTCAGACACTTGTGCCTATCTACAAAGGGGAACTGTTTTTGCTGACAACTGCATTTTAACTGCATACAGTATATGTCAGAAGGCGGCGACTCTTATTGAGAGCACAGTGAATTCAAAGGCTCTGGAAGAAATGGAGGAGCCGATCTTTGAACGCTTTTCTGGAATTTAAGCTATTTTTCCCCGTCTGGTGCAAACCATGAGAGCCCTGAGAACAGATGTCCGGAAACCATAGAGCTTCTTAGCAGAATGCGGGGCTCCAGCTGCCTGACACCTTTATGACAAAAGTTTTGATTCTATGTCTACATTTTTTTTTTTTTACCTAGCTGGTCTAAAGCCTCCCAGCCAAACTTTGGTCCCTCTTCCTTGTTTATTTTAAAGTTTCACTCCTCTCTAAGCCTTGGGAACCCTTTCTACCTTAGTGCCATCTTCCCCTCACCCTTCTAAACCTGCACAGAAGAAAGAAAAGGGAGGGGTTGCCCAACTGCAACAGAGGAGGAAAAAAGGGAAGAATGCATGGGAAACAGAGCACGTGAACAAGTAGAAAAGAGGAAAGGCCATACTGCAATCAAGAAGCTCATGTTCTCAACATCAAAAGCTACCACTTGTTGGTCTTTGAGTCGGGGTCTCTCTCCAGGCTCTCCGCATACACGCGCACACACGCACACACACACACACACCCATATCTTCACATTTTGGTGCAATTGGATGTCCTGGGAAATACTTCAAAATCTGATGGTCTTTTCTGTGAACTAGTTTACGATTAATTCTTAAATCAGTCATTTCTTCACCTTTTCTCTACCAAAGGACAACTTACTGCCTTTAATTCTTCCAAACAGTATTTGTTAGATTCATGGGGTGGGTGCCCCTGGAGGAAAAAAAAGTTAATTTTTACCCCTAACTTTTATAGATAAACTCTTCTCAATCCGTTTCACTGTGCTATAGTGCAGAAACATACAGGACCAAAAAATATTGACACTCTAGTGTGGAACAAACTGAGTCACGTACAGAGATATCATTGAATAGGAACAAATGGAATTGGAAATATTCATTCTACTTTCAGTGCACGTATTTAAAATGCACAATCAACAAGTTTTCGCATCTGTAAACATGTTCCCTCGGAATCATCACTACAAACAGGACAGTGAGCATGTTCATCACCCTTCATCATGCTCCTCCTCAATACTTCTTTCCAAGGCAACTACCAGTCCAATCTCAGGGCGAATTTTGTAGTACATTACATGAATGAAATCATACAGTATGCCTTTTTTCTCTAGCTATTTTTACTTAGCATAACTATTTTAAGATTCATCTATCTTTTTGTTTGTATTAATTTTTCATTCCTTTTAAATGTTGAATATTTTTCTTGTGTGTGAATGGACAACAATTTGTCTATCCATTTACCTGTTGATACCATTTGGATTCTTGAAAAGAACTAATAGAAATAAAGCTGCTATGAACATTTGTGTTTAACTTTTGTATGAACAGAATTTCTCTTGAGTAAATATTTAAGAGTGTAAAGTCTGAATCATTCAGTAAGTGTATGTTTAGCTACTTAAGAGACTGCCACACTATTTTCCAAAGTTGTAGCTTGTTACATTCCTACTAGCAGTGTACTAATGTTCCAATTCCACTGCATCATTGTCTATACTTGGTATGATCAGTCTTGTAATTTTAACTATTCTAATAGGTATACCATGGTATATCATTTTAGCTTTACTTTGCATTTCCTAAATGGAGAATGATTTTAAGCATCTTCTTTTGTGATTGTTTATTATCTGTACATTTTCTTAGATAAAATCACCTACAAATTTCTTGAAAAACTTTTATAAGTTTTTATTTATTTTATTTTTAGACAGAGGGAAAAGAAGGGAGAAAGAAAGAGAGAGAAACATCATGGTGTGGTTGCCTCTAGCGTGTCCCCCACTGGGAACCTGGCCTACAATCCAGGCCTGTGCCCTGACTGGGAATCAAACTGGCGGCCTTTTGGTTTGCAGGCCAGCACTCATACCACTGAGCCATACCAGCCAGAGCAAATTTCTTGAAAATTTTTATTACAGTTATTTTTTTCTTATCTATTGAGTCTCAAAAGCTCTTTCTATTCTAGATAAAAGTCCTTTATCAGATATTGTTTTGATATTTTTTTCAGTTTATGACTTTTTTGTCCTTGAACAATGTTCTCAGAAAAGCAAAAGTTTTAAATTTTAATAAAGTCCATTTTCATGTTTCTATCATTCTTTCTAAAAGTTCGTTGCCTAACTTAAGGTCACAGGACTTTTCTCTTATGTTTTCTTCTAGAAATTTTGTTTTATTTTTTTCTGTAAAGATTGTATTTATTTTTCAGAGAGAGGAGGAGGGAGGGAGAAAGAGAAGGAGAGAAACACCAATGTGCAAGAGAAACATTGATCAATTTCCTCTTGCATGTCCCCAACCTAGGACCTGGCCCACAGTTTGGGTTTGTGCCCTGACTAGTGACTGAATCAGTGAGCGTTGGGTTCACAGGCCCGTGCTCAACCCACGGAACCACACCACCCAGGGCTGCTTCTAGAAATTTTATAGTTTCAGATTTTACATAGAAACCTGTGAAAAATTTTGAGTTTTTGTGAGTTATGTGTCAAAGGTTTTTTTTTTTTTTTTTACTTATGGATAGTCAATTATTTTAGCAACATTTGCTGAAAAGAATATTTGTTTTTCACTACATTGCTTTTCATTTTGCCAACAATCAGTTATCCATTTTTGCATGGGTTTGTTTCTGGACTTAGTTCTGTTCCATTGATCAACTTGTATATTTTTACTCTACCATGCTACTTTGAATTCTGCAGTTTTTTAAACATATCTTGAAATAACATAGTGCTAGTCTAATGTTTTTTAAACTTGTTTTGACTTATCTAGGTTTTTGCATTTCTTTGTAAATTTTTGAATTTCTGAATCTGTAAAAAAAAGCTTTAGAAATTTTTCATGTAATTGCATTAAATCTACAGGCAAATTTAGGGAATATTGAAATCTCAAAAATTTTTGTTAAACTCATGAAAAAAGTATATCTCTCCATTTACATTAGTGTTCTTTGATTTCTCTAAGCAGTGTTTTATAATATTCTCTGTACAGATGTTTCATGTATTTTTCTAGATTATCACTGTATAGTTTATATTTTTGATGCTACCATAGATGGTCTTGTAATAATTTGTAACTTTAATTTCTGTTGTTAGCATACAAAATTACAATATAATTTTATATTTAACAGTGTTCTGAAACTTCATAAGCTCACTTATTCTAGTAATATTTTTGTGGATTCCTTGTATTTTCTACATATATAATGATGTTGTCTGCTAATAAAAACACTTTTATTTCTTTCCAACTTGGATGCTTTTTATTTCTTTTCTTTGCCTGTTTTAATAGACTAGAACCTCCAGTTCAATGTTGAATAAAAGTGGTGAAAGTGTACATCCTTATTTTGTTCTTGATCTTGGGAAGAAATCACTTAATGTTGAACCATTGAGTGTGTTGTAAACTGTATACTTTTCATAAATGTCCCTTATCAGTTTGAAGAAGTTCTCTTTTATTCTTAAGATGCCAAGAAATTTTATCAGGAATGAGTGTTGATTTTGTCTAATACTTCCTCTATACCTATTGAGATGATCATTTAATTTTTCTATTTTTTCAGTGTTTTAATGTGAAGAATTACATTGATTAGTTTTAGAATGTTAAACTAACCTTGGATTCTTGTGATTTACAAGTATTGTCATTTAAATAAGTAAGTAGATTAAATCTCCTAAAATTTGGTTTAGGATTTTTTCAACTATGTTAATAAAGGATGTTGATTTACAGGGTGGGGCAAAAGTAGTTTTACAATTGTGAATAAGGAAAACACAGAGTTTATTATTGTATTATTATTTATTAATATTTTCAATATGAACAACTACTTTTCTTGTACTGCTTTGGTTTATTTTTCAGAAAAGTTATTTACCTATGTCAATTTGCTGGAAGATTTTATGTAGAATTGGTACTATTTGTTTATTGAATGTTTATTACATTTGACCCCTAATGTCATCTGGGCATGGGTTTTCTTCATTGTAAGATCTTGCTTTAATTTTTTTAAAGATTTTATTATTTTTAGAGATAGGGGAAGGGAGAAAGAGAGAGAGAAACATCAATGTGTGAGAGATACATCAATCTGTTGCCTCTTGCACACCCCCATCTGGGGACTTGGTCCATAACCCAGGTATGTGCCCTGGCTGGGAACTGAACAAGTGAACTGAAAGAATTGAGACCTTTCTGTTCTCAGGCTGGTGCTCAATATACTGAGCCATACTAGCCAGGGCTATTGTAAGATTTTAAACTACAAATTCAATTGCTTTAATACATGTAGTGCTAGATAAATGATTCCTTTTTGAGTAAGCTTCAGTGATTAGTGTTTTTTAAGGAATTTGTCCATTTCATGTAAGATGTTTAAATGTTATTATTATAACATTTAAAATTGTTTTCTTATTATTTAAAAATCTCTGAAATCTGTAGTGATGCAATTTCTCTGATTCCTGACATTGTTAATTTGTAAAAAACTATTTTTTTATTCTTGAGGAAACTTTTTGTTTTACTGGATTACTTTCACCATTACTTTTTTTGTTTTCTATTGTATTAATTTCTACTTAATCGTTACTGCTTTTTTCTACTTAATTATATTTTGATTTGCTGTTCTTTTTCTAGTGTCTTTTTAAAATATGGAAGCTGAGTTCATTGTTTTAAGATCATTCTTCCTTTGAAACTTGTTGGTGAATGTTCTATGTGCACCTAAGTAGAATTGTTATTCTGCAGCTGCTGAGGAAAGTATTCTAAAAACATACATTGGATGAAGGTAGCTGATAACTTGGTTCATGTCTGCTATATACTTACTGATTTTTTGTCTGTTATTGTATCAATTATTGAAAGAAGAACATCTAAGCCTCTCACTGTAATTATAGTTTTATCTGTTTTTCTTGCAGTTTTACCAGTTTTGCTTTGCTTATTTTGAAGGTCTGATAATAGAGACATAAATATTATGGATTGTTCATCCCGCTTAATAAGTTATGCCCTATATAATTATGAAATGAACATCTATATCTCTGACTTGCTCTGAAATTTATTTGAGTGCAATTAATACAGGCACTGCTGCCTTTTCCATCCTTTTACTTTTAAACTACATTTTTGTCTTTATACTTAGGTGTTCCTTCTAAGTGCCATTTAGTCATCTTGCTATTTTATGCAATATGATAATTTCTGGCTTTAGTTTGAACATTTAAGCTATTTGCATTTAATGTAATTTTTATATAATTATATTTCTACATTTATATTTGTTTTCATTTTGTCTCAACTCATTTGTGTTTTCTTTTATACTGCTTCCTTTTGTATTAATTAAATATTATTTACTATCCCACTTTTATTTCATCCTTGTCTTATTACCTCTTACCGTTGGTTTTGTTACTTTAGTAGTCATTTCAGAATTTATCACATACCTGTACATCATAATTCACTGTATATGATATCATATACAGGAATACTACCTTATGACAGCATACTTCCATTTTTCTTCTCTCAGCCTTCATGCTAAATGTTCCCATACATGTTTATATAACATGTATAACACATAACATATAACATATAATATGTTTATATGTTATAAACACCAACATACATAGTTGTTACTTTTGTTTTATCAGTAAATAATCTTTTAAAAATAAAGAATAAGAAAAAATTACATACACATTCAGTTACCATTTTGGGTGCTCTTTATCATTTTTCTAGATCCAAAGTATCACAGTGTGACATTTTCATTTTTCTTAAAGAACTTTATCATTGCCTGTAGTGCACAACTGTTTGTGAGGAATTCCTCTTACCTTTTCACCAAGTTTGCAAAGATATAAGCTACTAAGCTATTATCTCTTTGAATATTTGTTTCTGTCCTCCCTTTTTCTCACTCCCCGCACCCCACGCCCTGTTAAGGGGCTCCAACTACCGGCTGCCAGAAGTTATCCCACAGCACCCTAGTGCTTCTTGCTTTCTTCTTTCCTCCTTCCCTTCATTCCTTTCCTTTTAAAATTATTTTCTTTCATTGTTTTATTTTCTATAATTTCTATTGTTATATCTTCAAATTTATCAATTTGTTCTGTAGGTGTCTAATCCATCACTAATACCATACAGTGCATTTTTTAACCTCACTATTTTTAGTGTTTATCTCTTGAGAAGGGTGCTTTTAAAAATTTTTTTATGTCTCCATGTAGCTTTTAAAAATATATGACTTTTAGGATAGTATTAACCATTTTAACGTTC